GTTATCTCCATGGGAAGATCCTGGGAGTAAAGTCCTCGGCAGGTGTCCCACCTGGAGGTGGTTGAAGCACAAGCTCCCATTAAGACGATCTGTCCGTTTCGTGGGAGATGAGCTCATATTGGCAGTGAAGTGAACACACTGACAGGTTTCATTACATTAGAGTCAACTAAGGAGTGTGTAAGCTGAGTTTAACACCTGTCTGTTCATTCCCAAGGGAATAAATGCATCTTACTTTAACAGTTTCAAACACAACACATGAATGATGTTTGCTTTGAGGTGAGGTGGTGTTCCCCCACACATGACACAACAGAACCGAGCTGGACTCAACTGAAACTGAAGTGTCTGCAATAAGTTTCATGTAAATGAGTGTTTTCCTGAAGAACGCATCGTTTAACTCATAACGCAGCGCAAAGAGATGGAAACATGTGAATAAAGTTAAAGTTCTCTTAGTTTATAATAATGTGAATAAAGTTAAAGTTCTCAGTTTATAATAATGTGAATAAAGTTAAAGTTTTCTCAGTTTTTAATAATTACAATAAAAAGTTATGTTCTGAGGCGCCGCCAGACTTTTTATTTCTGTCAAATTAATAAAAGCAGATAGTTGAGAGTTTTAATCCAACTGGATGTTAAATTCTAGTAATTAATTATATTACAGCGGTTTAGGATCGTGATTGCTGATGTTTTTATTAACGGTGTGAATGTTTCTCAGTCTCAGATCCAGTTTTCCTCCGGATGTTTTTCAGCTCGTTCCGTTATTTTGTTTCTATTTCAACAAATCGTGAATCGAAACGTTCGGCTGATTCTGGACGTTCCTGCCGGGACTGTGTTTGTGCAACTTTCCCTTCTTGGACCGTTTAGCTGTGTCGGCCATGTTTTCCTCATCAATGGAGCTCCTCGTCCCTCAGACACTAACCTGCTGAAATGACGCTGATTTAAAGCTTTTTCAGCTTCTTTCTGTTAAATTCAGCTCTTTTTTTTGTTGATTTTTCATCCACCTTTCATATCTTTCTGCTAATTTTAGACTTTTTTCTGTTTTATTCTCGTTTCCACCATTTGTGATTCTTTTAAATCTTTTAAATCTTTTATGCTTTTTCAGCTTCTTTCTGATCATTTAAGCTGTTTTTTTTTTCATAAAATTTCAGCTTTTACTAATTTAAAAGTTTTTGTTCATCTTGCAGCTTCATGGTTCGTGTTTTCAGTTATTGATGATCTAAAAGAAGCTTCATGGTTTCAGCAACAATCGCTCACACGGTTTTATTTTAAATGTTGGTGGAAACACCTCGACCTGAAACAAATAATCCAAGTCCTGACTGTAGTGAACGTTGTGCGTGAGCAGCTGAACGACACGGCCGTCCTCTCTGTCGTCACGATCTTACTTTATGGGAAATAAATCGATAAATAAATCAATAAATATGTGGACCGAGCTGTTGTGTTTGCAGACGGACGACGAGTCGGCGATGATTCGTGTTCTGGTCGGAGTGGAGATGCTGCAGAGCAACAGGAACCTGAAGCTCATGGAGGTTTCAGCCCCCGCCCTCTCAGCGGTGTGTTTCTGACCAGCTGTGTCCGTTGACCTTTGACCTTTCCCTTTTTAATTCTTTCTGCTTCCGTCAGATTATTGTTTCCAGATGGTTCTTTCAGATGAGACGTGTTTGTCGTTCTGACCGTCTCTCTGTGATACTTTGCTCTCCTCTTGGACGTCTCCTCTTCCTGTTAGGAGTGCATGTTCAAACCTCAGGACGGTTTTGCTACAACAGAATCTCGTCGCCTAGCTTTGAAAAATGAAACGTAAAAGAGCAAATCCTGCACCAAATCGAGCGACTGGATCAGGAGCGGTACGCTCTGACCTTTAGCAGCCTTACGTCTCAAACTGTGGACTAAACTTTGAAACAAGCTGCATGAAGAACATGGTGGAGGTCGGAGGTCAGCGTCGTCCTGTTTGGACCTGCAGCTCAGGCGCTACGTTAATTCTTTTACATTCACAGCTCTTTATAAGAAATACACGTCAAGCGTCAGTATTTGAGCCTTTTTCACCCGGTACGAGTCTCCGAATAAAACAAGTTCCTCCTCAGAACAGCGGAGGCTCGTTTTTCCTGCTCGTGTCTCCTACAGATAAAACTGCACCTTTGAAGCCTTCGGGAACGCTTGAGGTTTACTTTTCAGTACGTCTGAATTCAAACCTGTCTTCTTGTTTGCTCCTGTCTCTCGGTCTCTTCTTGCAGCAGTTAACTCCTCGTCTGTTTCAGTTTGGTTTCCCTCCCTGCTGGTCTCAAATGTCTCCATGTTTCCCGTTACTCACCTCCTCCTCATCTTCTCCTCTCTGCACACTTCTGTTCCCTCCTCGCCTGAAGCTGGTGAGCATGGCGTCCGGCTGCAGCTGGTCCGACCCCGCCGTGGAATTGCAGGTGTGGTGCCAGCTGGCTGCCTTCTGCTACCACGCCCAGGACCACGACTTGGTGCTGCGCTGCACGCAGACGGCCCTGCAGCTGGAGGAGGCAGCAGCCGCGAGCCTCGGCACCGGACCCTGCGTTCTGTAGGTGGACTGACAGTTCTCTGGGACCAGATCAGTACAGACCAGTCCTGTAGGTGGACTGACAGTTCTCTGGGACCAGATCAGTATACAGACGGGGCTGCAGGTGGACTGA